ACATCCTCCGCAATTTTCGACGAGGTTTCACAGCATTCCAGTGACCTTATAGCTGCTTGGCCATTGGAGTGGATGGTTACTGAAGGCAGATTAAGAGAATAATCGATATGCCAAAGTGCAGCCTCTTTTATGGCTGATTTGAAAGACTAAAACAGAGATTTAGTAAGAGGTCCTTCGAGTTTATCACGTCTTCTACTCTTAGTTTTATCCTAAAGCTACCCATGTATAAGGCTGTAGAGCATTTTCGGGCACACTCATACTATTACATATTGAAAAGTGTGTGTTAGCAGCGCAGTCTTGCTTAACAGCAATTGCTTTGATTTGCTTATAGTAAGGCCGTCAACGTCTTATATACGAACACGCAACGCTACTCGGAGGGTACTGCCCAGTCAACGTCATTCAGGCCTGCTTATAGTATGGGAACAGTGGTTAAAATGCGAAATTTACTTTTAAATTTTTGGTGGATTTTATTAATTTTTTTATTCATGAGGGGTTTAAGCAGCTACTTTTTAGAATTAATCCTATTAATTTTAATGTTGAAGTATCTACAAAATATAGAAAAATTCAATTGCCGTTTATTGTTTTTGATAGGTCGGTCGATCAAACTTTTATTTGATCAAAACATTTAATTATAAAACACAAAAAATTAAGAAAAGTAGCCCCTTGAACCTCTAAAAAGTGTAATTAACTTTCAATGAAAAAAAAATTAAAATCCGTCAAGAATTGTAGGCTGTAGACCTTTTTAAATAGTAAGTTTGTCATTTGCACCACTGTGCAAAGTTGGCAGCAAAAGACAATGTATTCATGCCAAAAATGCCCGATACTGCTTTAGAGTTATCTCCAAAACACCAGATCGTAGTGGTTAAAATCTTCTATGAAAAAAATTGTCGCTAAATGTTATTGCAGATCCCAGAATACAAGAAATTCGTTCAAAGCCAATTTATAAAATTACTGTAACTGTAACATGATTGAATTTGGGACCAAAAAGGGTACAACTTAACTCAGTGGAAAAAAAATATTGTGATGAGATGTAGTAGAAACAGCCTTTTGGAGTTTGACTGTCTCGAGTGGAAACGACCGTTTGGGCTTTTATTCGTTGAAGGCCCTGTAAAAAACAAACACCAAATTGCTTCACAGTGTCAACTTTCCACTAACACTTTGATTTGTGATACGACATTAGTGCTCCTTACCAACATCTCAGTACATACATACATACATATTTATTTTTTAAGATAAAAAAAAATTAGACAGAAAATAGCAATCAGCCTAATCAGATTAATTTTATAAAATATAAATTCTATAGACTTGACTTAGTATAGTAATCTACTCAAACTAATATTTGCCTTCTTTCCTCGTATCAATGCGTATTAGCTAAACAAAAGAATTAATAAATATGTATAAGACTATGAAGTTCACTTTAAGTTACTTTAAATTCAAAGTCATTGCAATTTTATATTAAGCATTTATTGCATTCAATCGTCATGGGAAATAATGTACCTCATCGTTATAGAAATTTATATATGTACATATGTACAAAAAAAAAAGTACATGTGTATATGCTGTATGTGTTCTACTGAGTTGAGTTTGAGTGTAAAATATTAAAATTAATCCATTAATAAACTCAAGCTTTGCGCAAAGACCGGTTGGACCATTGCTTACTCAACTGCACCCACATAACAATTTTCAAATCACATCTGGTTACAATACAATAAAATACAGTAAAATATTTTTTGTGCTGTTTTCATTAGCAACATAAATATTAGTCATGGGGGGAAATACGAGCAGCCAAAAAAATCTGTGGTAATTTAATAACGTTCAAAGATATAAAATAATTTTGGCGATGAGAATGCGTGAAGTCATACAAAGATATACATACATAAGTATGTGTAAGAGTACATATGTATGTACATAAGGGTGCCTCACCAACAAGTTGCAGTTATTATATTGTAAGACTTTCACCAAAATATTTCGCAAATTATTAGGATTTACGTAAACTGAACCGAAAATTCTTATTATTTTGATTACGCTGAAACAAACTGGCTTATTAAATATAGTTTAGAAATAAAAGAGGCTGATGCTTTGCATTGATGCAACTTGGAACTCAGCCACTCTTCTACGACTATCTCTGAAATGTGTTTTTGGAAAAAAATATTTTTGAAAACCAATTTTATTTATAAAAACGTGGATTTATGAAAATTTTTTTAAATCGGTTCAGTTTATATAAATTTCAATATTTTTTTGAAATATTTTATAATTCCGATGGGAAAACAGTACCGATTTTTTATTTTTTTTTTACTGACGCACCGTAATGTACATATGTATTTGTGCGGGCTATATATGTACATACATATCTACACATATACATAGATAGTATTTTTGTAAGCATCAATGAACTCTGGTATACGAATTCATTGAAGGCATGGAACTGTTAATTTGGTAAATACTTCGCCTCACGGTTATGAGTCATAAGCTAAATAACCAAATAAATGCAAAAATCAAACAACAAGTGAAGTAAAACTCTAATTTGTTTGTTATTCTCTTAGGTCTCCCGCTTAGATTATCGTTGTCAGACATATTGAAATCTTGATTTTCTGCTTTTATTTACGCTTTTAGCTTGAAGACATAAGAATATTAGTATTAGCGAAAGAAAAAAAATTTGCATTTACCACGTTTTATTTTTCTTACGTTTCATTTCTAATGCCTTTAGTTTTCTTAAATTTATTTACCTGCCAAAGCAAATATTAATTCTGAATGCTCAGAACTTTTCAAATATATATTTTTTTTCGTTTATGACAAATCATTTGCAAGTTTACCTACTCGTTACTACCTAAGCACCTCTTTTAATAAAAATATTCACCACTTCGTAGTAGTTAGTTAAAAAGTTGTTTGCAAAGAAAAAAATAATAAATCGTCTCCTCTGGGTCTGAAAAGAAATTCACGATTTCATGCTAATTAAAAAAAAAATAATCTAAACAACCAGTTAAGGTTTTTATTGGCCATTAAACTTCATAACGACTTGTTTACTTAACACGTTGAATGCCAATGGAAGCGCGTACATAGTGTAAGGCTTTCGCTATAAATATATCCCAGGATTACCCTTAAAATTTGTTTTATTTCACCAAGGTTTAAAACAGATTATATCGGAGCTCAACGAAAGGGTTAGAAGTTGTGTTAATAGATACAATACTGCGACCGGCACGGGGACGTTAGGCTGTGCATTTAGATATTCAGATATTCAGATATTCATCAGAGCCCGAATTAAGGCATCGGGATTGAATGAAATTCAATTTAAAATTTATTTTTATATTTATTATATTTATCGAAACGAGCAGTCATTCGATCACTGATGCCGTGATTCGGACTCTGATGAAATCATACATAGTATCTTAATATCAAGCTAGGATTTGTCAGGGATTAATACTAAACAGTCGCAAAATACTCCACAGAAAGCATTCACATACACCGATGATACGCGAGAGTTAAAACGCCCAAACCTATGAAAAATTAATGAGAATAGCCCCAACCTAATAAGATCCTCTCCTCCGATTGCTTTAGCATTCCGCACCCAGGGTGGCAGCTTGGTTTATATTGCGAGTAGGCTTCGGCTGGATCCTCAAAGCAAGACTTTGTTTCGGTATGTTCCTTTTTTCGATTTCGTTACTCTCTAATTACTTAGAGGGTTTCACGGAAAAAGTATTCGATTTCGAGGAATCCAATAGTTCACAATTTTCAAAGCATTTCCATTTTAAATAAATCAATTCACCAATTTTTTTATGTACATATCTTCTTTTCAGATAAATCTACAAAATCGCCGTCGCTCATACCTTTCCCCAACTGGGAGGCTCACAGTCTGAGTGAACCCGATCCGGAGCTTGTATCACCTTTCCGCATACGCACCGATCGCTGCGGACGCCTTTGGGTATTGGATTCACGCATCGCTGGCGTCTTGGAGAACACAACCATTTTCGGACCCGCTCAGCTGCTGGTGTACGACTTGCATAATGACAACCTGTTGCGTCGCTATCGTTTCCCCAGCAGTCATATAAAACAAGGTTCTTTCTATGCAAATCTAGCCGTGGAGGATGCCGACTGTGAGAATACTTTTGCATACGCTGCTGACTTGGGCGCTCCAGGTTTGGTGGTTTACTCATGGGCCGTAGATAATTCCTGGCGTGTTCAACACAATTTCTTCCACCCCGAGCCATTAGCTGGAAATTATAGCATTGGTGGTATAGAATTCCAATGGGATGACGGTTTGTACGGCCTAGCGTTGTCCAAGGCACAGCCAGATGGTTTTGCCACACTCTACTTCCATCCGCTCAGCTCAACGACGGAATTCGCAGTTAACACTAGAATGCTAAGAAATAAAACCTTGGCTACATCTAGTGGTATCTATCATGACTTCAAAATACTTGGAGCGCGTGGCATAAACGGGCAAGCAGGTGCTGCATTTGTAGATCCACGCACAGAAGTTTTATTCTATGCGCTTCCAAATTTGAATGCTTTGGATTGTTGGAGTACAAACAATGCTGAGTATTCCGCAAGCACGCAAGGCCGCGTGTTTTCCAGCGCATTGGATTTGGTATTTCCGAGTGAAGTGAAGGTTGATGCGGAGGATAGATTGTGGGTGCTCTCAAATAATTTACAAGAATTCATTTACGATGAACTCTACCCGGGTAGAGTAAATTATCGCATTTTGACAGCGAATGTGGTGGATGCCATCGAGGATACAGCGTGCGATACCAAACAGAAACCGTTGCCAGAGATTATGAAGAATGAATTAGATACAATACTGGATACAGTGGTAAATAGAACCGAGCAGGTGACAGCTGCTGGTGTGGCAACGAGAAGCTTAAGTGGCATAGCATTTGTTGGAGCGGTGCTCTTGGGTTTGGGAAGTTATTTAATATAAGCTTACATAAGTGTGTTTTAGAGAGTAAAGCTTTTGAAAATATTTCGATAATTTCGTATATATATGTAAATACAAATAATTAAACTCCGTGGATCATTGACAAAGCAACTTTTGTGTTTTTAACCGACTTCAAAAAAGGAGGCGAACATCAATTTGCCCGAATAATTTTTTTTATTTGGCTTAGTTCGGATCAGTGGAAAATGAGGACACTAACGGTACGCCTAAATTTTTACATGAGCATTCAAGTTACTTGTTTTTTTTTTGCTTAAAAATTACTTATTAAAATGATAATTTTAGATGAAAAAGATGACATAAAACAAACAACAGTTTTTTACTAAGCAATTTGTTAAGGGGGAATGTGCAACCATAGCGAAATATATATAATTGGTTAATACTTAATGAAGATATGGAATGAGAACTTTAAAACTGCAATACCTTAGAGAACTCGAGATAAGTTGCTTTGTCAAAAGTCCACAGGGTGGTATATATAATTTAAAAATTTGCAAAAGTGTACCTATTAAACTTTTTACCAATTGTAAATTTGTTAAGTAGATTAGGGTCACAGAAAGGCAACTGCAGTGTCAAAGCTATGTAATCAAAACATTGTAAATTTCAGTTTCTAAAAAAATGTGTAAAATACTTACGAAATCACAATTTTTATAAATACACTGAATAATTTTGAGCCTAGCTTTGCTTAAGCCATAAAATAAATACTTTAATATATTTTACAGTTTACTAAAGCAGCCAGAATTCTATATTTTTCCAAATAACAAGACAAAAAAACCACTATGGTATTGTGTATATCGTCGATTGATGTGCAACTAGCGGTGTAAGAGGTGGCACAGAAAAAAAAAACAATAAAGAAGATATATATATAATGATACGATTACTAGGGAGAGCAGAGAAATTCAGTTAAGCGAGTTTTGTATTTCGCCTACAAATAAAATTGAAAACCACCACCTTCATCAATCCAGTCATATAGTGAATGAAAAGCAGTGAGTCCCAAAGGTATATACAACATGGAAAAGTAACAGAAGTAATAGGGGTATTCTCTGAGTCTTGCAAAGCCCTTGCACGCTGCACGGATTGCACAGTTTGCAAGGCTGTCCCATACGAAAACCGGTTTTTATCGTGCAATCTGTGCACCGTGCAAGGGCTTTGCAAGACTCATATAATACCCCTAATGTGTAATCAGCCAAATGCTGCTTGTTGAAAAATTAGCGATAGCGAATGTTGGGATCGGGCTGAAGGGCTTCTTTCTGAAAAAAGCCACATAGGCAGGTGCCTAGGGTGGCATAATTTAGGGGCGGAAAAATTTGAGTTGAAATATTTTTTTTTCAAGCTAGCTGCACTGAAAGTAGAATTTGTGTTTGTACATTTTAAGACATAAATTTGAGATTCAATTACGCAATCAGAAAATAGGACAGCACTGTTAGGTATGTATTTTTGATATTATTTAAATGATTAACTATCTAATATCTTAATACTAATCTAGTATTTTTGAGATTATAACTTATCAAGTGAAAAAAGTTTCTTGTTGTTGGCTTTCTTTAAAAGTTGAAAACTTCTACTTAAGGCAAATACCACTTTTCCATCTTAAATTGTTATAAAAATATAGTAAATAACATAAATTTTAATATTAATATTTACTGCTAATCGTTCCGCTCCGATCTAACCGAGAAACGAAAAAATACAAAAGATTTAAAATTTTCCAGCACTTCTGTAAATTTATTAAATTTCAATTAGCTACGCGAAATTTAACTACAAGCTGATATTATAAGCAGAAGAGCTTAAAAATCACCCTCAACTCCAAGTTGGCCTTACAAACGCTCCCTGAAGTTCCAAAGTTAATATATGTATAAAGATGATCTACATTTCTACAAACAAACCAAAATAAGAATCAATTTTTCATATACAACTCATTTTGTTTGGTTATAGTGGCTATATCGACTGTTGTGTCAGTTGCATGACTATTCTGAGATCGACGTTCTGCTTCGTCCTGAAGTTGTTTTTCATGTTTTAGCTGCTTCTTAATAATGCCACCACAGAAAAATAGGGCCATCTGCAATAGGTGAGAGCACACATTCGAAAAAGTTATCTGAAGTAAGTAAAAGAATTTCTTAAATATATACATATGTAATTGCTTACATGCTCCAATATGCCGATCAGGCCGAGCACAGAAAGACCCAATAGGAAACCCAACGAACCGCCAATATCAGCAATGAATTGTGTGGCATCATATGTAGCTGGGACTCTCTTCAATCATCTGTTAACAAATAAATTAGAGTAACATAGAATAAAAATTAGCTTACCTATGTATATAGTTAGAGCTGCATGCTCTTAAACATTACCGATACTAATTTTGTGGTGTAGTAAATCCATAATTGTGTATAGGACGCTCCCAAACTCATTGTTTTTCTATTTTGTACGTATGTTGAATAAATGCGTGTATCGCAGCGTTGTATGCAGTTACATTCAACATCATCGTCACTAGCGTAGTAGCTGAAAATGCGAAACTAAGTTGAGAAAGAGAGCACTGTTTTGTTGCAAGAATGATAGAATACAAGATTGCGCCTATCAGAGAGGATTTTTGAGAATAACTTTTGTGTGACGTCACACTGGTGCAATTGCGAGCGAGAAATGCCAAAACGTGAGCAAGAATGGAAGAAGAAGAAAAAATGTTGCAAGGAAAACGTAAACAAGTTGCACAAGTGTGACGTCATACAAACAACTATTCTGTCAAATTCACTGAGAGAGGAAAAGCGGTACCGTGATTGGCGCAACCTCTATTTCTCTCAATCGTAGTTTTGTTGGCCTGCTTACATTCCATACTCTTTTACCAAATTTCGCATTGTTTTGCTGCTGTTGCACGGATTCTGGGGTATATCGCGCATCCAAGGACCAGTGCAGTTGGCTGTGGCGGCGAGCTCTTCGAAAACACATAACTCGGCACCCTGAAAGAGGAATTCACTTATGTTTAAGTCTATTCAGTTGGGGGAATAACAAATGTACATACATACCTTCATGTCACTGTAGCTGGGAATGGAAGAACATGGCGTATCTCGGGACTCTGTATTCGAAAACTGCTGGCTATGTAATTTAATTTCAATTTCCTCATTAATTTCAGCAAAAATATACTCTATGCGAGCGGCACCTTTTACATTGAGTTCTGCGGAAAAATAAATCGCAAGTATGCACTCATGGAGTCAAGTAAAACTGCAAAGATATAAGTTGATGGCGACTAAGCCCGTAACGAGCACCTTTAACGGTTTTCTTTGTGGAGCTTTAAGCTTTTCGCCACTTTGAGAACTCAATCTCATACTCACCTGTGAATTCATGTCGATAGTCGTGTATGTAAACATGCCAACCTGGATTATTTTCCAATGTCATATCCGTTGTGGCGCTCGGGTCAACGTGATGCGTAAGCATCAGAGAATAGCCGGTTGAGCGTGTGGTGCGCGTCAATTCTACTTTTGGCTTTAGTGTAAAACAGCGACCCAGATTGAAATGTAAGCTACTTTCGATTTGCAAATCTTTGAAAAGGTTACACAAAATTCATTAGAAATTTATAATTCTTGTAGCTCATTGCTGGAACTTACTTTCCTTAAACCCATTAAGTCCATATTGTTTTCCCAGAAATGTTTCTTCCAAATCAAATGTTGAATTTTGAAAGAATTCATCAAGTTCCAATTGATTGAAAGGGTAAGCAGACCAACAGGTTACATATTTTGGGTGCGGACATACACTGCATACACTGAGAAAAAAATAAAGCATATCGTGTTGGTTTCATCAGTGTTTTGAGTACTTTAAACCAGGGTTCGTAGTTGCACACACATGCTCTGCTCACACACACACCAGAAAAACATTCAACTTGCACTCACTGCTCATACACATGTGTGTGCATAAGTGGAAAAAAAAACTCTACTCACAGAAAAGTGTGTGCTGTTTGTTATTAAGCACATGCACATGTGTGTGAGCCGATTTTTGTACAAATTTCAGCCCATGCACATGCACATAATATATTCTTAAAAGAATTTGTTTATAAACGTTATTTTTTGAAAGTCAATTCAATAAAAAGTGAGATGTTGTTTGTTTTTTATATGACAGAAAACATATTAAAAAATTATTTTAAGATTTGAGTTAGAATGTGCGTGTGCTTTACATTAATAAAAAGAAAGTACACACATGTGCCCGTGCTTTTTACCAAACGGCACACACATGTGATGTGAGCAAATTTTTAATTTTTTATTTGCACAGCAGACGTGTGTGAGCGTAAAATGTTAGGATGTGCTGCACATATGTGTGCAAATACGAACCCTGCTTTAAACATATTTTTGTTTGCAACCATTTTTGTTTGAATACTCTTTCATTGTGAACTTCCCAGATGCTTTTTCATAATTGAGAAAAAATTAACGAAAAATAAAAATCGTATATATTTATGCGATATTTGCATGCACTGTGGGGTAATTACACTGTAAAGAAAATCTCAAGTTCTGAAATGACACAAAAAAAAAAACGCAGAAACACGTGAAATTAAGATTGGTTCGTGGATTTAAGATCTGTACACCATTTTTCTGGATCAGGTAATTTTTCAAAGATATTTTAATTTTTATGAAAAAAATCTAACGCTAACAGGAGAAAAAATAACAAATCTATTGCAATTTTTTCCACTTGAATTAAAGCCTGTTATTTTGCAAAAAAAGCAAGCTAATAAAGATGAAAAACAATGAATAAATTAAAATAAATAAGAGATAAATGAAAATGTGAAATATTTTCTTTTTTTTGCAGAAAATAATGTTACTCATACGCCACATCGCACATAGCGCATACTCTTCCATGAATAATATTTTCCATTTTCAAGTTTGATTTTTTTCAGTTGCATTGAAAACTTAAAATGAAAATTTCTTGTGCAAATGACTTGATCTAGAAAAACGGTGTCCAGATCCGCAATCTACGACCCAAAAAAGTTTATGTGTCTCAGCATTTTTTGTGTAATTTTAGCGTCCCTGTAGTGTTATTGACCTTCACCGCGGTGAAAATAAAAATAATTTAAGGTTGGATTTCTAGAAAAACTGAAGAATGGTTTTCTAGCTGAACTAACCAAAATAAATTTTTTTTCTGTTCCACCTCATGCGTGGTATTGTAATATTGTAATTTAGACTGTAGTCTAGAAAAAGAAAGCTGATGTGCTGATTTCCGAAAAATCAGCTATAACTTTACCGCTTACACTTTGTTTCCTTTTGCATTTTTCCTAAAGCAGTGTTTGCATTGTTCAACTTTGCGTTCAACTCAACTTAGGGTTGCACGAAAAAAAGTTGAGTGGCTAAATGTTGGCTGGCGACCAACTTTGTTGATAGCGATTAATTGAAAGGACATTCTACATAAAGTTTAATGCAAATTTGAACAATGCAAACGCCTTTTAGCGACGAATATTTTGATATTTTTTATATTTTGATATTTTTAGCCATTCAACTTTTTTTTCGTGCAACCCTGAGTTGAGTTAAACGCAAAGTTAAACAATGCAAATCCTGCTTAAAATACAAAAAACGTGATACAAAGCTCAATAACACTATTGGAAAGAAAATAAAATTAAATTTGTTGAAATAACTATTTTCATTTCATCATGTTTTTTATAGCACTTACATATGTACGAAACTCAATGTGCCGTATGAATAAAAAAGAAGCAATTGCTTCTTCCTAAAATTTTAGATCTTTTACTTAAATTTATTTGAATATATCG